AAAAAAAAAAAAGTAAAGACCATGTAATAGTATTGTTAAGCTTATTTATTTTCCATGTGCCTTATTTTAGAAGCAAGGAAAGACCATAGCAAATAGATTTTCAATCTCAAGTCCTGTTAACAGCTTTATGAACTTGAATCTATTTCCATGAGTCCAGATCAATACAGTTAGTTTTGATTTAACAAAAATAAAAAGAAACTCTAGTTATGAGTGGGAGTTGTTGGTTCAGTGGTGAAAGTCTTTTGTTGAAAGCTGTCAACTCTGCACAGCAAAGCTGCATTGCTGGAAACTGCTGTCATTTGTAATGTGCTTAAACCCTAAATTCTGGCAAGTGTGGTTTGACTAACAGTAAATAGTGCTTGGTCTTCCTTAAACGCAGTCTGTAGAAAACCACGTCTGCCTATCGTATGCCATTTGTTTGATTTAAAGGATGTTCTATTGAATGATTCCAGTGTTTGCCAGGCTGGATTTTCATAACAAGATGAACACGGTGGCCACAGTAGGTATGTGGCTTCACTCACTGTATCTGACTTCTATAGAGGTTATTTATTCAGTAAAATTTGAACAGTCTGTTATAATGTTTGGTGGAGTAATGAGGGTGGATGGAAGAATTTGCATTTCATCTTTAACCACCAGAGGGAGATGCCTTCACAGAATTTAATCTGATCATCAATTAACTGTATATAGTGAAACATCCTGAACTGTCACTTTGGATCTAGCATAGTTTTTTTATTATTATTATTTGTTTTTTAAGAATTGATAACCTAGAGACTATATTATGCTGTTGTCCCTTAGGTTTGAAGTAGGCTTCCCCTGCTCCCACCCCCATACTGATTTGCTAGATGACTCTTTAAAGCTATCAGATTTGGGGAAAAAGGGGAAAAAAAACAAACATGTTTTTATAGATGCTGTTAGTAGGGGTTTTGGACACCTCAGACTTTTGTGTGTGTCTTTATAAAACACAGCTGAAACATGGAGAATTATTATCCTGTCCATTGCACTGGAGGTGATAAGTTAAGATTTGCATAACTTTACCTAGGAAATAGAAGATAAAACAATGGCACGGATGCCCTCACACTGTTAGGCTGTGCATCCAGACCCCTGAAGTTGGGACCTTGCTCTGAATTGCCCTGAGCACCTTCTTTTGCCTGTCCATAGAGGTAAGGAGTCTAGTGCCACAAGCTGGGTGGTGTAAATGCCATCCAGTGACCTCGGGCAAGTGCTAAATTCTCTCCCAGAAAAATAAGCAAGGGAAGGAAGTAGGTCCCTGGTTGGCATCATTGAAACGGCTCTAGTGGCCACAGGCACCAGAATGTGGGCAGGTGGAGGCAGTTTGACAGGCTTCCTGGACGACGTTTGTACCAGGACTCAAGACTTGCACGGCACTGTTCCCTTCTAACATAAAGATTATACCTGTCATGTCATTTCTTTTTTTGGATGAAGCCTGTTTTGCCAACACTCTGCTCTTGTGAGCAGTGGCAGGTATGTTTAAAGTTCTTAAAGGTCCGCGGAGAGTTGTCTAAAATAAAATTAGCATGTTCAACGTGAAGTGACAGTCTGGCATTATCTGTAGGATGCCAGTGGAGCTGAGAAATTCTGTGCTGGTTCCTGCAGCCGCTGTAACTCGCATGTGTCAGTGTTTATTAAATGCAGTCGAAGGGAAGAGTGCAGAACAAGGCCCTGAAGGAGCCAGTCCCTGCACTGAAGTACTTGTATCCTGTAAATGAAGGTGTAAAGGAAGAAAAAAATAGGTAAGGAAAAAACTTTCTTGGGTAGTAATTTCTTGTGTTTTCTTAACGCTATCTCCTATGAGATAGTTCTTATGAGCACTGTGGTACCCTTGGATGTGTTTATGGAGGTGTTTGGCAAACGGAGAAGGGCTGCAGAAGATGAGGAAGAGATTAACAGATGGGAAAGGAAACACTTGACCTTCACAGAAGTGTTATAGCTGCTTTTTTTGAAGAAAATCCCCCTAGGCTCCTTTTCTCCTTGATGCCACTTCTGCTGAGATGTAATTTAGCAGAAGAGGAACCTGATCACAGCTTATCACATCCATTTTATTGTGTCTTTTGTTCTCAGGCCCCAGCTGAGCATGGACAGGAGAAGATTCCTTCTTTTTTTTCATTCTTTCTTTGCTCTTATTAACAGGGAGGACTAAAACATTTGGAAAAAAACATGAAAAAGACTGACTATGCACACCACCATATTGGGAGATTTTCATGTGCACCCAGTTAGTGCTTGGCCTCTTTCCACCAATCCCATTACTCCAAGCATAGATATCGCAAGGGGAGTGAGAGTGAATTTGTCCATCAGATATTGCAGAATTAGCGTAGTTCCATAGATGGAGGATAAAGATGCATCCGCGCATCTTCCTCCTGCCCTGCTCCCCTCGCTTGGGCCCTTCCCTCTCGCTGCTTCCTCGCTGCGGGGCCGAGGCGCTGATGCCTCCCGTGTTGCGGAGCACAGCGCCCAGCACGGCCATGTCCCCGGCGCCCTGGTTTGTGTGGGAGCATTCGGGCACTCGGAGTAAAGCTGAGTTTTGACAGTGTTCGTGTTGATATGTGTGAGAAGCACCTCCTGGGACAGGGGCAAGATATTCCGTTGCGGGCTTCAACTGCTCAAAACACCAAGAAAATCAGCAGATCAGAGCATTACTTGGAGTTCAAAAGGAAGATGACAAACATTGGTCTGAGAAACAAAATCTGTGAAAACCCCTATTCCTCCCCAGTAGAAAAAAAAATAGTTACATGTTTTTCATATTTGGAACCATGCTGCTTTGTTTCCTCACGAAAGGAATGAGCAATCTTGAGGAAAGGTCACAGACAGTAGCACCTTCATAATTCACAGCTTCACATGCTCTGAGCTGAAGTGTTTCTGTCTTGGTCTAAGAAAAGTCAGAGGTGCTGTCTACTTGTCCCTTTGGAAAAGGGGCTTCAATGATTTCAGCTAAGAGCTTCAGCTTGACACTCGTGTCGTGCCTCTTCCCCTTTGGGAAACTGCACCAAACTTGGCAAATTCTTCCCTCTGGGTAACACATACTCACTTACTGTCCCAGCAGAAAGCAGGTTTCCCTCATTCGCAACGAAGGCGAAGTTGCTCTAAGGAAGTTTGTTTTGCTTTCCACCCACAGAAAAAAAAAAAGAAAAAACCACCAGCATAAGTTACTGCTTTCTCGTCCTTGAGTCTATTGCAAGGGAGTAATTGTTTTGTATTTTTTTAGATGGTTAATTAGCAGTCTTTCATATGACTAAAATTCCGCTTCTGCAATGTTCAAGAAGCGCTTGTTTCTGTGACGCCAAACTCTGGGATGCATCTCTAGGGTATCTTTGAAGGGCAGAGCTTTTACAAAATTCATCCCATCTCATGTCACTATTTATAATTTACGTCATTTTTATTTTCTTGCCACCGCTTCATTGTGCTGTAGACAAAGACAACTGCTTCAGAAGGACGGATAAGAACAGGACTGATAGGGATTCTGCCACCTCCGCACTAGGGTAACTACCCTTTGGGCTTCCTTTGTTTGCCTCTCTTGTCCTTTATTACCATCCTTTCCTGAAGCAGAAGCTGAACAAACCAAGGCCAGAAGATTTTCGCAGTTTCTTGCTTTGTGTCTTCTACATTTCAAAGAAAAAGTAAACATTCCCAGGCTTACATGTCTGGGAGAAACTCTGCCCTGGGTACAGGACACAACTGGACAAGTGCTCATTAGGAGGGCCCTGGGATCGAGCAAACGCAGCACGTTGGCAAACCCAGCACCTTGCCTTTTTTCACAGCTGCTTTTTCCCTGTGCAGTTTTCTCACCACTTTCTGCACTGTTGAGTTTCTCCTGTCTCATCCCATAAGCAGACTTATACATTTTGGTCCAGTCATACACTGCAGGTCCTAATGGCCTGACCTTGGCGCCACTGTACAGTTTATTGGTTTTCTGCAGTCTCCATAATGGCATTTTTTTACCCCATTTTTCTGTGCTGCCCCTCTCACTGTTTTCTTCACGGATTTCCTTGCAGCAAGGCAGGTCGCTGACTGCTGCTCTCACTAGATTCGGCCTCCCTCAGTTCTTAACCCCGCATCCTGAGGGCATGGGAAGCAGCAGAGG